GTCAGCTTATCCCTGTTTCACATGAGTGCCAGGTCAGGCAATACGCCCGCCAAGCGCAGAGCACGCTCGCGCAGCGTTCAATTGCAAATTGTTGTTGTTGTTGTTGTTGTTGTTGTTGTTGTTGTTGCTTGTTGCTTGTTGCTTGTTGCTTGTTGGTGTTGTTTCGGTTTGCGTGGTTTTGAATTTGGTTTTGGTGGTGGTGGTGGGTCCTTGTTGATTTTGGGTTGTTTGTTTTCCTTGGCGATGCCGCCGCAGCGGCAGCGGTGACTTTTCTTCTTTGTCAGGCCGCTCGAGGCGCGCTGATGCAGTGATCCCGAGGATGCTCGACACGACCGTGCCCAAGGCAGTGGAGGCATCGTTTCAGCTCGCGACCGCATGAAAAAGGCTCACCGGCGATGCAGCGCTCGTTGCAGCCTGTTAGTACCATGTAGGCCTGGAGAGGATGTACCGCGTGACGCAAACCTAGTCAACTCTTCCCTACCTAGCCGAAAGAGCCGAAACATGACGTGCTCCTCGACTCGAAGTACGTGTCTCTGTGTGTGTGTAATATGCCGGCATATCTTGCATTCATCGCGGTAGCTCGGATATTACATTGACCCACATGCGGCAGTCGGATATGTCTCCATAGCTCTGCCTGCCGACCGAACCGCGAATGCTTCTGCCATGTCGCAGCACGGCTGGTCCTTCCTGGGCTTCGGCTTGTTGCTTGCCCCGTTACTGAGAGCTGCAGGGCAAATTGACCCATCCCGATCGTGCTTGGAGTCCGGTCAGTACTTCGACGCCGTGCGCTTGCAGTGTGCAAGCTGCACAGAGATTGATGGCCAGGCGCGGCTGGTGCGGACCGCATCCCCTCAAGCAGACGTAGCGATCCTTGGTCGGGAGCTGGAGCGGCTTGGGACCGACCAGTGCCAGTGCCTAAACGGCTTTGTTCAGTGCGATGGCGGCGACGAGTGTTTTGCTGCGAATACGAACGACCTTAATACCAGTGCTGTGGGAGATACTCTGTCAAGCTTCGTGGCACAGGGGCCCTTCCAATGTCGGCAGTGTCCACTGGCGAGTGACGGACAGCCCATGGCTCCAACGCAGGACCGAATGCGCTGTTTGCCCTGCCTTGTTGACCAAACTGATCCAGAGACCACAGCAGGCTACTCAGACAGGTGGGGTGACTGCGTCTGTCCAGAGGGCAGTGCCCTGAAAGAGCGCACCAGCGATGGTTCCTACCAGCTGCACAAAACGTGCGTGAGGTGCGCCGAAGGGATTCTGTTCAGCCCCACGTCCGAACCTCTCCCCAATTACGACTGCAATCCTTGTCCGGACTTTCAGCGGATGTATCGGCAAGCATCCACTGGCCAGTGCATCTGCAGGCAGGGTACCACGAATGACGGCTATTTGGAAGCAGGTGGGTCTTGCGTGAGCGCGGCCGAGTTCAACGAGATCAACGACCGATTCCCCGAGACTCCTGCCGTTATTGTCGAGTTCCGGGACCTCATCGATGGTCGTGAGAGCTGGTGGCAGTCCGGCCCCTTCGGGCAGTTCTTGGGGATCGAGGCTCGGACAGGGAGCACCCTGCAAATGCTCAGCTTGGACTCTGCGGGGCAGGATGTGCGAGTGACGAGTGCAGCGATGAAATGGCTCTACATCCGATGCGGCATCGGGTGCCTTCGTGGCAATGCCACGGCTTGCCAGTGCATTTCTAACCTTTGCGTACTGCAGCTTTACGACGACCAAGCAACCGTCTGCAACTTCGTTCAGGACTTGTACCAGGGCAAGCCTCGTGTGGAAGGCTCTGCAGTACAAGACATGCCCTGGCTCTACTACAGCCCCCAGCGGCCCCTACAGACACTCCAAGATGCAAGCCTGAACTGGAGATACACTTTCGCAGACGTTTTGGTGTTCTGGCTTGCCTCATATTCCCTGGAGGGGTCTTGGCTTGGATGGCAGAAGCTGGAGTCGCAACTGGATCCATGTTCCAGCTTTATCTCCACCTCCGAAAAGCCAAGGAGCCTTCCATCGGCCTGGCGCCGCTTCGGTAGCTCACTCCGCTCAGAGTGTAACATCCTAGCTCGAAGTGTTCTGGACTGCGGCGCCAACCCAGTTCTCTACGACTTATTTATCGAGAACACTGATGGGACCCTGGTGCCGGTGCCGGTTCGCATCTTGAACCTCGTCCAGAACGGGCAACGCCCCAATCTGAACGAGAACGACTTAGGCGACAGTGTCTTGGTCCGGCGCTTTCTGCTCTGCGATGCCGTCAGTGGGCGCGAGAGCGGGCCGGGGGGGCCGGGAGAGGCCTATTTGTCGAAAACCGGATACCTGCGAGTGGTTCGCTGGGCAGCGCATCTGGCAGTGCAGGTGCGAGTGCGTCCTGAGGGAGATGGCCAGGTATATGTGCCGGTCGTGAGCATTGCATATGCCGAGAAGAGGACTGACAACCTGCAGGAGGACACCACTCTTCCGGGCAGTTTTGCTGCAGAGTACACAATGGATACATCTGGCTACTGGACAGCCGTCACGGTCCTTTTCGTGCTCCTATTGTTATCTCTATTGGGGTTGGTGACATTCAGACTGTGTCTCCTCTCTCAGCGATATCCGAACGTGCCAGTCTATCCCGACCCACACCTTTTCGCTCCAAGACTCGTCCTGCAGGTGCTTGTGCTGTGCTCGACGACTTCGTCGCTGCTCTTTTGGTTCCAGTACTTCATGACGCTCTTCTGGTTAATCATGTTTAAGGGGCAGAACGTACCGCTCCTCTTACTGCCGTCGGCTCTTGGAGGTGGGCAGTACGAAGCTCACGATGTCATGCTGGTTCTTGTCTTTTGCTTGGCGGTCTTTACAGTCAGCTTCGGTTTGTGGAAGCACCTTCGTGTGTTCTTCTTTTTGGTTGACTGGGAGAAGCCTCGCGGGGAGCGGGAGACTCTCATGGCGCCCGCCCAGCCGTCTCAGCCTCCGCCTCCGCCGCCACCCGGCGGGCCACCCGGTCCTGCTCCACCGGCACCGCCGGCACCTGGAAGTCAGTTGGTTGGTGCTCCCTTGCTGAGCGGAGGCTTTGCACAAGGCTTCCCACCCAGTGATGCCAACACGGAAGTTGCCATTCCTGACTCTGGCATCTCTGCATGGAGGACCCTGTTCGTTTGCAACGAATTGAACGAACGCCTGTCCGCCACTCGCGCAGTTCCTGAAGTTACATGGCTGTCCATGGTATTACTACTGGACGGCTTCAATTGGGCAAGTGCGGCGAGATGGAACACGCACACTCAGAGCGAGCTTTCTTCTTTGGCGGCAGACTTGAATCCGTTCCTGCAGTTTGCGCTGGGAGTAAGCGTCTGGATCTTCGTCCTGACGCTGCAGTTCCTCCTGCAGCGCGTCGGCAGCATTTTCTTGGGTCACGACCTGAACGACTTTGTCGACGTCTGCTCCATAGCCAACGTGTCAGTGCGTCTTGACTTGTCTTCTTGTTCTGTGCTCCTGCACTTGGTTACCCGCACATGTTTTGTCGAGTGTTGTGTTTAGGATCTGACTTGTAAGCACCTCCTCAGAATCGAAAGACTTGAGTCTTGCGCTGTACAGATTCAAAGCGACGACGTCTACTGTAGCCAGAGGTAAAAACGTGAGCTTTATGTTCGTGTCATTTCCATTCCAGTAGTTTCACACTGACCTGCGATCCGAAGTTTACCACCAGACACTGCTGCTCAGTTTCAACAGGGTACTCGACGCAGCTTTACAGCAAATCTCCTGCGTGCATCTTGCCGCGTTTATGAGGTGAAACTGTGTCACGGGTAGGTCCTGAAAAGCAGTACTGGCAGTGAGGTTCATTCTGGACGAGCCTTTCCATGGGTACTATATCCATGGCAAAGCACCCAGCAGCCGTGGGGACTGGGGCCACACAGAGCTGCTCGGACGATCAATTTAGGCACCCGAGATGCACAGGTGTCTGATCCGTTTCATCCCCCGCCTGATCTGATTGGTAGTTCCACGGATCTGACAGTCGGGTCCTAACTAGAATATGCGAGCCGTTGCAGGGCCTACCCTTGTCGGCTTGCCGTGTTTGGGATGAGGTAATGTAGTATTTCTTGCGCTCTTCGATACAGCTTAGGACGGTTATAGGCTATAGGACTCAACTGGCCAGGCTTGAGCGAGTCTTGCACGATGAAGACAAAGGCATCGGCTTCAACCGAGGGCTCACGCCAGATGGTTGCCAGACGTTTGAAATGTTCCTGGCGCCGGATACAGCGGTGCAGCTTCCAAATGGCGACCTCGGTTCAACTCCCTTATTGTGAAACTGCTCTTGCCTAGGAAGCCTGCTTGCCAGATCTTGCCCGCATTTTGCATTGACGATGGCTTTGCGTTGAAACTTGGGATCCGAGGCAACGTGGCGCATTTTCGGCAGGAGCTGGGCAAGGTCTTCGTTGAAGTGCAGCAGACCCAAGACACTGTGCGAAGAAGAGATCCGCCCAAACCAATCTCGCAGGATGTAGCGCAGATGTCACAGCACCGTTGCAACGTTCAGCTGCTCGTGGATGCCATGGTGAATGCAGTGATGCGGGGAGCCGGTGATGTAATACAGGTGCGAAACAGCTTCAACTGGTTCTGGGGGACAGGTCCTGCAGGAGGAGTGGGGGCCTTGCCACATCCCGTCTTCTACAAAGACCAAGATGGTACCTCATTCCCTAACGGTCTTGCATGGGCATCTTCGCTTGCTTATGGTGCAGAGCTGCGAGTTTGTGGTGTGGCCCTGCCAACGGGATTTGAATGGCACTTAGGGTTGCTCGAGCTCATGACTTTCTCCTTGCTTTGGCGCTTTCAGGGCTCTGTGGTTCTGGCTGCGGGCCTGGCCTATGTCCTGAACAGGTGTGTTCTCATGACTTACTCTGCTGCCGGAAAGGCTCGGCTAGCCCATACGACCATCATAAACAGCATGTTCCTCATTTAATTTGTGAGCATGGAGCTCCGCTCGCTCGAATTCGGGCCACCAGCGCCCCGCTCGCCGCCCTGGGCCAAAAGCATGGGAGCCGCCCAGGATCTCCACGGAAGACAGAAGCTGTTGAATCCTGGCTGTGATCTCGCATCACTGATTCCGTGCAGGTCGTGGAAGGGACAACACAGAAGCTCCACGACCGTCTCGAAGACAGTTTGAAGGCAGAGCTTCAAAAAGTACAGCCACGACCTCAGCAGCTCAACAGCAACAACAACCTCGAGCGCAGAGTAATGGCGTGTCCGGAAGCAAGCAGTAGGCGCTGTCGAGGCTTCAGATTGCGGAATCTGATGCGTGCTTGTGCGGACGATTTCGCTGAATCAACATTCCTTGGTTTGGAAGCTGATGATGGTATGCTAGCTCTCTTGTAAGATCCAACGGTCGGCGGGCTCTGCCTTGTTGTTGGGTTCGTTTGGTGTTTGAGGTGTTTGGCCCTTTGCTGAGGCGAGAGTTCCAGGACTTGAAGCAGATGCAGGGTCAAGTCGCTGAAGATCTTGGACGGGTGCGTGATGATGTCGGGCAGCCAACGCCTGAGCGATGAGCTGCCTTCGCAATCTTGCGAGTGCTCGGAGCTTGATCAAGGTTGAAGTCTGCTCCGCGAGAGGTCTCTGGACTGAAGCACGCATGCAGAATTTGACTGCTGTTGGCAGCTTAGCTTGGAAGGCAGAGCCACCGCCACCGTCACCATCCAAAGGCTTTCGACCTGCGACTTGGGCTAAGCTCAGTGTAGTATGCCTTGCACGAGCAGGTGCCGAGTTCGATCCGGCGGAGTTGGAGAAGCGCATGGACCGAAGGCACGTGCAAGATCCGACAAGAGGGGTAGCATCCGAGTTTTTCGCAAGGATCGGCGACCTGCAGGAAGCAACCCGGTTGGAGCCTTTTTACTGCGTTTCCTTTCACCCAGCGCCTGCAAAACTCGGTGCAGCTGACACTTGAGTGACGGAAGCCGTTCGAAGAGTCCGCCCAAACGTTGCATCTGAAGTTTGCATCTGCAAGGAAGCTCCTCGATGATCGCCTGGATGATGTTGCTCGGAAAGCAGCTCATGCAGCCTCCGAGAAGCTGCAAGCCGAGAAGGCCAGGACTTAGTAAACTCAAGCGTCGACATGTCAGGTAGTCAGCAAGAGTTTGCCTCTACTGCATGTGCGATCACTTCTCGTCACAGCACCAAGAAATCCAAACCTCGGTAGTATATGTTACATCTCTTGGCCGTGTCATCTGTGGCATAGACAAGGAATTGGTGTATCTTTGCAGGATGCGATCCGTTAGTTTTATGGTGATAGCACCCACGCAGAGCACGGAAGGATTCGACAGCATGATATGGGGACTTCTGCAGCTACATCGCGCGCGCGCAACCTTAGCTTCTGAAGGTGTCGTCACCTCCGGCCCCGTCGCTGGTGCCTTCGCCAGACATGGGAGAAATGCGGAAAGCTCTGGAGGTCCGGCGTTGCGGGGTTTTGCAGCTCCCACAGTCTAGGCCAGCTAGGCCAGTGGCAAGCGAATTCCACGGTCAACAGAGAATCCGGCAGCAGTGCTGGATTCGAGGAGTTCCGGCAGCAGATGGCCGTAGAGGCCTCGCCGAGACTTGTTGGACTCCTGCCGAGAGCGTGAGAGGAGACAGCAGATCTCACAAGCCGGTTCAAGTTCAAGCTTGGCTTAGGGCTTTTCCAGCTTCGGCTTGGCTTTTCTGAGGTGTCGAAAGCGACAGCGGCCAGTGTGGAGGATGCCATCAAGAAGCTGCCTGCGCAGGCAGCAAAACTCGGGACCGCTCCTGCTTTTGCTATGCATTCTGCGGCATTTGCCAGTTCCAGGTGCCTGCGGCAGTAGAGGTCGCGAAGGCCGCGCCTCCGCCCAGCCCGAGGTCTGAACCGCCCAGTCCGAAAGCACCGGCGGCCCCAGCCCTCAACGAAGTTGCGTTGGTCTCGCCAACGGCACAGCCCTCGGAGCCCTCGGAGCCGGAGCCCTCGGAGCCGGAGCCGCAGCGGGCCGAAGTGTCGCGACCGGAGCCGCTGACATTGCCGGAAACCGAGCCGGAGCCGGATTCGGCTCCAGAACTCGAAGTGCCCGGTTGGGGAGCCTTGTCTCCCAGCTATCAGCAAGCGCTCAAGGAGAGACTTGCTCAATGCCAGACGGAAGACGAGAGGCGGCGCTTCATGGTGTCCTTGGCTACGGAAAGAACGCGGCCACGGAAACCGAGGAACACCGAACCTTCGAACATAGAGCTCTCTTGGGGCGAGCTGCTCTCCCCAAAGGATGCTGATCGCGCAAAGCGCCCATCTTTGACGGAAGAGAAGGTGAAGCTAGACAAGGCGGAAGCCGAGAAGGTGGAGCAACGTCCTCCCGTTCAGTCAGGTGGCTTTCAGAAGAAAGAGCCGTCGGAGAAGCGTGATACTGCCCTGACTCGACGGGCCTTCGCAGGAGGACTCGCATCCTTTCTCCAACGGTGCCGCCCAGACCTCATGGTAGCCCCAGCAACATCTTCGGCTTCTGCACCAGAAGAAGTGCCGACGAAAACTGGAACAGCAGCGCCAGCAACGCTAGCTGTGCCGGCCAGCACGCCGGCCACAGCGACTCCCAGCGTGCTGACCATGGCGCCTGCCTCTGCACCACTGGCCCTTACCAGTGCGGCCACATCGAAGCCTGGGCCGTCGGCGTCTTCGGATCCTCCATTGCCACTGCCCCCTCCTGCAGATCCACCCGTGCCAGTTGCCGCCAAAGCAAGTGGAGCCATAGCACAGCCAACTTTGCAGCGGGCTGCCTCCGCGCGAGGGCCTTAGCACATCTGAAGGGATGAATAAATCTGGGGTCCATAGTGGCTTGATTCCTTGGGCGGCGCAGTGAGTGGGGTCCGTCAGGTCTGTTGATGCCAACTTCGTGGCGCCGGCGGCAAAGCCTGCTCAGCCGGCTCCTTATCCATCTCCCGAGCCTCCGGCGATTCCGAGCTTGCCGGGACCTCCACCGCCAAAGGCGACCACAGAAGCAAAGCCCGAGCCTTCCCCTTCCCCGTCTCCAGCCACCTCCAAGACGGCTTCCAACGCACCCCCGGCACCTAAAGCACCCATTGCACCGGCTGCACCCCCAGCGGCCCCAGCGCCTCCTGCATCTCGGAAGCACTGCTGCCTTGTGTGACCAAAGGAATGCGCACTTGTGGCTTCTTGCTTCGAGGCCACAGCGACTAGCTCAAGTGATCCTGCAAGGCGAGGCATCTCATGGGGTCATGGGCGGAAGTTTCCCCTTGAAATCGGCTGCACTGCGCTGCAGGACCCCTGCTGCGCCCGTGCCTAAGCCCAGGCCTTAGATCGCACACCTCCCAGCTACTTGTGGGCATTGGATGTGCATTGAGATCTTGAGGCCGGCACAGACTGTGCCAAAGCCAGCGCCTAATGACACAGATTTATGCTTGTTAGAGCGAAGAGGCCTCTGATCAATCCACCTCGAAACCCAGAGATTAGTGTGATAGATGACCCGGAAGATTAAGCAATTTAATTTGCAAACGTGTCTTCAGGGCCCCTGGAGCTGCAGCGGCCCCCATGCTGCAGCCTGAGCCAAGATGCTGTGCACGATGATGCCGTTCCTGTTCATGTTCCTCAGAGCTATCGCCAGGCCTCCGACTGTAACAGTGCCAAAGCTGCAGCCTCAAGACGGGCCCTGCTGCAAAGATGATGCAAAGAGTGCATATATTGAACGATGTCACTGCTGTATGTCGACCACGGGGCTCAAAAGCATTCAGTGCTGCTTATGAATTGCGCAGCTTCCGTCAGAGAGAGAGAACCTTCCATGGACCTACATGAACGAAATGTCTTTTGCGAGCCCAGGCCGCCTGTAGGTGGGCCGCCGCTGCTCGGCAAGAGTTGATATGATTGAAGTTCCCTAGAAGAGCGCAAGCCGCAAGCGCATGCTTGCGGGCCCCGAGCCCGAGCGGTCTTGCTCTGACTCAGTCGATGAGGCCACCCGAGCCACCAAAGTGGTGGCCTCAGCTCCTGAAGTGCCCCAAGCGTCATGCAGGCCTTGAGGTCAAATTCAGGTTCTTGCTGTTCAGGATGCGGGCAACTGCAAGCCACAAAAGGGTGCTGCGCATGAATGATCTGCTCCCCTGCAGGCTCCCAAGTGCTGCTCCTGCGCCAAAGTTGCAACCTGAGCATAGCTAGGGCAGGCGACGGGGGCCTCAGGCACCAGTACGGCGATCATGTGCATGGCAAAGCATTGGAAAGGTTGCCAGCTCAACCCGCACCATCGCCCGCAATACCGAAGCTTGACGCTTAGGGAGGAAGCCTTCCGCTCAGCATTTCCGCGTTCTAAGCCGTCGGTCTGGTAGTAGGCCACCTGCTGACTTGGCTGCAAAGCCACGTCCCAAGCATCGGGCTGCGGCTCTGGCAGTGCCACCCAGTGCCGACCTGAAAGTGAAGCTGTAGCCTTTTCCGTTTGATGCCCTTGCAAGGCCCTTGGGTGCAGCACCACTGCCAGAGCCTTTGTCAGTGCTTGGAATGGGTGATGCAAGTGCGGCGTGCTGTATACAGGGCTGTGACGGGACTTTGCCTTACTTAAGTTCGCTTCCATCCAAGAGTGATTCCTTCCGCCCCCATCGGATCATCGTCTCTGGCGGTCTGTGTGATGTGTTTTTTTTTCCATCTTTGGCGGGTGCAGGTATCTTTTTTTGGCGTAGCTAAAAGAACAGCTCAAAGCTCTCTTTCCATGCTTGCACCCTGATTGTCGAAGAGGCCGCCGGCAGCTGCCCCGAAGCCACGGCCTCGGCACGACAAAATCCAAAAGTGCTTGTATGTAAAACAGTGGGTGCAGCCATCACATCGGCATCTTTGCTTCTTGGCATTTGACCGCCACTGAGCCTGGAATCGGCGCAGCTGTTTAACCCGAGCGTGAGAATTCTGCACTCCCCCTCTCTCACGCTGCTTTTCCGACAATGCCGGGTGCCAAGCCTCGTTGCCTCCTCATCGGCGCCTTGGGTTGAGTTCAGAGAGCAGAGAGTTACACATGGGAGCTGAGGCATGATGAGGCTAGGACTGCAGCGATTTCAACACCAGGGCCACAAGCCACACCCGATGCCACCAGCCTGTAATTAGGCACAGCGGCGACCCCTTCAACTTGAACCAGCGTTCCAAGAAGCCGCAATGAAGGGAGGTGGCATACCAGGTAGGACCAGGCCCCTGCCAGCAGGTGTGGACGAGGCCGATGCGAAAGGGAGATGACACGCGGTGCGGGCGGATGCGGGCGGCGCGCGAAAAGGATGATGACAGTCCAGAATGACTGCATCCGAGCCGTTCCCGGCTAAGCCCTGGACGCAGGCACTTAAACAATGACATGCGTGTGATGCCCTGGTGCCCAGAGCAGGAGCTGGTACTGTAGGTCAAGAAACGATGCGAGTGGCTGGACAGCGTTGCCCCACAGCGCCTGCAGCCCTCGCCGTCTTTATCTCCATTCATTTAAATCAAAGTGATGATGCACTGGGGAAATTGCACTACTAGGGAGACAGCTGCTTGCAAAGACTTCGTCCTGCGGCAAAGGTGGCCAGTTTACGGGCAATTTTTGCGCCAGGGAGCTGAAGAAACAGTTCTACGTCACGGTGATTGATGCCAAGGAGACATGGCAGGGTCCAGACACGAAGCTCACTCGTCGGATCAAGCGATGTCCAGAAGCCTGGTATGATGCATCTGCGATTGTGAAAATGCAAGGAGTACTTCGAGTACACCCCGGGGGTGCTCCGGGCCTTTGTGAGGCCAGCTCACTTGGATTCCTTGACCTTTACCTTGCAGCCTGTGTACGAGCGCAAGATGGGCGACTGGTCAGAATGGGGCAGCTTTGTTGTTTACAGGATTTCGGGATGTGTGATTCGTGCTATGATACTCGAAGTTCAGGTGTGAAGTTCATCTGGGGAGAAGTGAAGGAGCTGAACGGCGATCGGAAGACTGCCATCGTCAAGACCATGTTCTCCAACAATATGGATGAGATTGGCTTTGACTACTGCATTATCTGCTCAGGCATTGTGTTGACGTTAGCTGACCTGCGCATACATACTTTTTGCATGTCCAGACTAGGCATGAGGACCGAATGACATAAACCGAGTGTTTTGATGTTGAAATTTGTTGGACAACCCGGCCCGAGAATGTGGGAGATGCGAAGGCTTCGTGAAGATCTTTTCATGCCAAACGGAAGACAGAACCTCTTTTCACCTCTGCTGCTTTGTTTGCGAAGAGCTACTGGGAAGGCTGCAATTTTGGGCCCTTCAAGCCCATGGGCGAGAGCCTTTGGTTCCCGACAGTGCATGAGGACACCGGGACAGGGCAGATTGAATGTCTCGCCTTTGGCGAGACATTGTCATTGTGGTATGTCGTAGGATCTTAAACTCCTTCCTGAGCATAGGAAGGGCGGGCCGTCAGTGACTGGAAGCACATCGACGAGCGCTTCCTGGAGGGCCGCCGCCGTCATGTTCTGGAGGAGTACCACAAGCTGCAGGATCTGAATCTCGGTCCTTAAGGGCCTGAATCAGAGGACCCTTCTTGTTTTACAGCTACGATTCCACGATCCTACGATTCTCCAAGCGGATCTTCTACTGTCAGATCCTGACACGCCGGGTGCTGCCGTAGCTCAAAATAGATGCGATCTGGAGACTAGATCTGCTCCACCCACCCCAAAGTACCCGAGACCTCCGATGCCGCATACTGACTTAGAGCCAGCGGATTTTGACAATGTTTGTCTCGAAGATTTTGCTGAAACCCGATTCTGTCGCTTCAACTGTTTTCTCACTGTGGAGGTGCGTGCGTGGAGTGTGTCTGGACAGACTTGCTCGGATTCTCTAGCTAAGGAACAAGAAGAAGGCCACAGTTCTCATCGTCGGTGCCGGCTTCATCGGCGTGGAGTGGGCCACGGAGATCGAGCATTTCTTCCCAGACGTCAAGCTGACCATCATCGACTTCTTGCCGCGCTGCTTGGGACCTTTGCCGGACAGTGCTGCCAACTATTGCTCGGAGTACATGAACGCTTGCGGCATCAAGGAGTTCTACAGCTGCGGTTATGACCCGAAGAACCAAGACTTCTGGAAGAAGATCGAGCTGCCCAACGGAGCTGACGAGACGTATGTCTGTATCGGCGTGAAGGCTTCAAACTATTTCATGCCCAAGAACACCTTGTCCGACAAGGGCCCTGGTGGAGGCGGCTGGATCCACTTCAACAAGCACCTGCAGGTCACGGTGAAGCCCTCCGAGGGTGGCGGTGTTTGGGCTGATGGCTCCATCTTCGCGGTAGGCGACTGCAACTACGGATGCATCGGGGAGCCCGGAAAATGGGAGATGCCACCCGTCCCGAAGATCTCCTATCCCGGCGAGGAGCAGGCCTACCACGCCTGCTTGAACGTCATGCGGCTGGTGGCTTGGAAGGGATCGATTGAAGTTTGTTCTGGTTTGTGCAGTTTCGCCTCTGGGGGCGGTTTCGAAGATATTTCTCTCATGCAAGACCTGAGCTCAGGCCAACAACAACAAGAATCTCGTGAAGACCTGGTGGCCCTGGGGCGCCGGCATGTTCGCCACGAGCTTTGTGCAGCAGTCGAGGGGCAGCGTGGATGGGGGGTGGCTTGGTACTTCTCAGTCTCTCTTCACCTCAGCTCAGGAGCTTGGGTCCTCATGATGCTTGCTTTGTCGCCGGAGCCAACGAGAACAAAGGCTGGGTTCCTTAGTTCCCCAGCCAAGCTACCACGATTTTATCCTTGACTTGCGCAGAGGCTCCGGCTACATGGTGAACTGGTGGATCCCCGCAGCCCTACAGAAGGAGATCATCGAAACCACTAAAATCGACGAGTGCCGTGACCGCTGGATCGGCATCCTCATTTGGCATTTCGTCCACCACACCCCGGTTCACCTTTTCGGACGTGGCCCTTGGGTGGTGTAGAGTAGAGCCTAGAGGCCCTGTGCACAACACTGCGACCTAGGAGCCACTCAGCGATGCCGCGCGGTTTGTTTAAGGTGTCTGGGACTGCCAGAGGAGTTGAAAACCCAACCGCAGATTGCTTTGGCCTCTGCAGTAGGATGGCCTTGGGCCAGCGATGAAAAAAAGATAATGCTCTGCCATCGTATGTGTGCAAGCGCAGGGCCGGGCAGAAGCCAACAGATTTGCAGCATTGTTGAAAGGACACCGGTTCCATCGGCCAGCACCACGGACTGGTTTTTGGATCATGGGTTTTTGGTGGAATTATGAGTGTGAGGAATCCGTTCTTTGAGCCCATATTGCCTGTCGTTTTCCAGTCTGATCGTGCAGTTTCTCACCGAATCTTTGCTGGATTTTCGAAGTTCTTCTCGCAGGAGGCGGCTGCCGTGGGCCCGCCTCGACCTGTGCACGGGACTCGCAAGCGGAGTGGTGATGTATGCTGAATGCTCCATCTGCATTGGCGCACCAGAGCCCTCAGAAGCTTCCGAAAGAGGGCGACTGCAAAGAGCTCATACTTGCCCCGTAGTGGAATGCAACGTAATTATAAGAAAGTGCTCAGAAGCACCTCCCGTGAAGCAACTAGAGTCACTTGAGTAATCACTGGTCATATCCAATCACGATCCATGCCTCCAGGCTGGATTCCATTTCAGAGCGACCAACCATCAGTCCACCGGCCGCAGCCCGCTCAGTGCATCCAGTTGAGGATTTCTGGTTTGTTCAAGCTTATGTCAAAGGTGTTTTAGGGAGTCATGTTTTCGTATCGCATGTGCCATCTCCGCCACTTTTGTGTTAAGACTTGCGCTTTTCGGCAGTCAGCAAAACAGCGTCAGATGCAATCAGGGCGCTGGCCGCGAGAACGTGGTTCCCTTCACAGGCTGGGCGATGCCAATTGGAGTTTTTTGCCTTCGAGCTTTGTCCTCAGAGCCCCGAGCAAGCACAACGCTATGAGGGTTAGGGCCAAAACTGACCTTGGCCCTGGCTTCCAGTGTGTTTTGATCTGGAAGGCATCGGTGGTGCCTCGAGCAGCTTAGCGACCACTGAAGCCAGGGCCCCGATTGCTGGCTGCTGGCTGCTGGTAGCGCCTGGCTGGAACAGCTGCGGTGAGGTGCCTATGTCTTCCCAGCCAGTTTCGGACGAGGCCCGTGCACAGACAACGACTTTCCAAGCATTTGGCCCACTGCCCTTGCTGGTGGCACCGGTGGCATGCAGCCCTGTAAAGCCCCGACAGAACTCATCCTGGGAGGTTCGTCCTGTCGGAGATCTGTCCTTTGCGAGCGTGCCAGTTTCTGAGAGAATTGCTGAGAAGGGCTTCCACTTGTCTGGGCTTGTTCTTGTGGCTGTCACAGGTAAGTTCTGCTAGGATTTTGGACATCTAGCTATCGTGAAGGCTTTTCGTGTTCGACTTCGCAAATAGGATAGGCGCCTACAGATATATATAGGACCCGGACTTGCAGCTCCTTCATAACTGCAGGCAAAGCAGGCAGATGCCGTGCACAGAATCTCGTGTATGATGCAAGCCCAGTGGCTTGTACCACCAGCCAGGTCTGACACCGGAGATGCAACTTGGGCCGCCGCCGCAGATGGCACAGCCCGCGAAGAGCCAAAGCAACGAGTCGTCGAGGTCGGGCCTTCCTTCCAGCCAAAAGGGAAGCCAAGCGCCGCGCTCGGATCAGCTTCCCGCTGCGAATCGCCGAGCCCTTTTTGGCAGGCAGGCGAGCTGCTAGCTGGAGTCCTGCTTGAGGTCTCTCTCTCGCCTTCCCAGGAAGCCTATAATAGTAGGCCTGCAGTCAGACATCGCGATTTCTGGGAGGGTCGACTGCTAGTAATTAGAGTCAGAGTTGTTTCTACTTTCTACCCTACTGCAGTCCTGCTTGCAGGGGGTTGGTGGGATCTGGCACAACCTGCAGCTTGTCCTTTGACATACAGATAAGTTCGGCCAGCTGCGATGCAAAGCACCGTCCTTGCAAAGAAGTCATGCGTGTAGAGCTTTAGTCGAAGACCGGCAGCTGTGCCGAGTCATGACCCAGGTGCTGGGAATGACGTTAGCACACCTTTGGCAGAAACTGCGCAGCCCGCGGCTCGGAAATGCTCGGAAGCTTTGCTCGGCACACGCAGCTGCACAGTTGGGTTGAGGATGTGGCTAGCTGGGTGGCCGTGTTCTAGACACTGTTGGGGTTGCCTGCCACCAACTCGCCCAGATGCCGGGTGCTACCAGGGTACTGAGTCGCTAGGTCAAGAAGTATGGATACGTTGTACCTGGATTGTACCTCTCACTGCTGGCCAGGAGCTCCACCGTCAAGCCATTCTCGCCCATGAGTCTTAGATGCACATTAGCATCGTCAGCCCCAGGTCCAGAGTTTGACTTGGAATTCCCAGCCTGAGTTACAGTGCCTCTGCTCGGAGACCCAGCATGAGCTGGTCTAAACAACACGAAGTCCCAAAACGACAAGAGTCACGTGGGCTCGAAGTCCTGACTGATTATTAGTTCGTGGTGAAGTGCGCGATCCTGGCTGGTGGGATGCATGGTAAGATGGACATGGTGAAGTGGTACTGCAAAGCAATATATCACAGAAGCTGTCATTAGGCACTGTACCCTGGCCCGCGCGTCAGGTACCTTTGCAGGTTAGGTGCCTGTCGGGAGGTTGCCTCCTCTTCCACAGAATACCCCTGCGCGGGATAGCTGAATGGGGTACCTCCTGGAGGTACGCGTCATGCGAGGATTTTCGTCCGATACCTCCCCGACATCTCCCACCCCCTGGGCCTCACCGTCGCTCGTCTCTCGCGGGAGTTGCCTTCACCGGTTGCCTCCGTCTCCGTGGGATGTCTTCGTAGTATCTTAGGTAGCCGTCATGCTACGATGCCGCACGCGTGCCGTCGCGTCTCTTCTCTCGGCGTCCTCTCCGTATCTTAATTAGGCATTTTCTGAGAGGGACGGGGGTCGCGCAGGGTACAAGCTGGAAGCCGAAGTAGCGATCCGTCTCGAGTTGAAAATGGCCACCGATGCAAAACAACCTGACTCGGCAAGGCTTCCCCTCAGAAGCCATGTCGATGCCGGGTCACACCAACCTAGTGCCCGATCGCAATCCCAACCATGAACAGTCGGCGGAGACCTCATCTGGCAAGTCCGAGTTGTGAGAGAGAAGTTGGGCAAACAGATCCTGAAGCCTGAGGAGTGAAACATCGGTGCAGAGCTTCGATGGGCAGCCGGCTCCAGAAGGCACCCTCCCAAAGCTTGCTTTGGGGCATGGTTGCAACTATAAAAAGACGGGGTATGCTCACAGGATCTCACAGGTGTAGGAGTCTGGATTCTGGATATTGGGTAAGTTCGTGGATGGTGTCGGATGAGACAAACCTAGGCCTTAGGCCTTCGGCTCAAGGGTGTCTGGAGAGAAGGGCAACTATGCAATTGCCACAATTGGCATTCCCACCCACAATGTTGTGACTGGTGTGATCGTTGCCTGTGCCAAGGCCGCGCAGGAAGCCGAGAAATTATCCGAGCTGCGGGTTTTCGGTCAGCACCTCCCGTCGCCGATGATATCGAGGAGGACAAGCACCCCTTTCAGCAGGATTCTTGAAGCAAGACGGAGGGCGTCATGTACGCATGTACGGCATGGCATGGCATCGCATGGCATGGCATGGTATGGTAAGACATGGATGAATGCATGCATGTATGTCTGTATGTAAGTAAGTATGTATGTATGTATGTATGTATGTATGTACGTACATGTGATGCATGTAACGTATGCAACATAATGCACGCCATGCATGCGACGTATGTATGTGTGCGCATGTGCATGTGTGTGTTTGTATAATGTGTACATAGAGAGAGAGAGAGAGAGATATATATATATATATATATATAGCCCTGGCGAAAGAAAGAGAGAGAAATCGGCGTGGGGGGCCTGACCAGCTCCCTGGACCCCGGAGAAGAAGAAGAAGAAGCGAGACAGAGAGAGAGAGAGAGAGAGAGAAAAAATATCATACTCGTAGAGATCATACTCGTCATGACCTGTCACGTAGACATCATACCTTCAACTACTTTTCCCCTGTCGCCCCATAACACATGGGGGGCCACAAGGCCAGGGGGTCTGACACGCCCCCTATAATGAAAGAAGAGAGAGAGAGAGAGAGAGAGAGAGGACCGGGCGACCCACCCAACCAACGCACAGACAAAACCCCTCTGTCAAAAGGATGGGTGGGGACGCGCTTCGGCGCGAGTTGGGGGGAACCCCTGACTCTTGCCCCGAGCAAAGCAAACGTTTGTGTAGGGGGGCTTCTCCCCTGCATCATAGCCCTGGCGAAAGAAAGAGAACGTTGCCTCTGTGGAGCATGCAGTTTCAAATAAGTCGCTCCGCAACAGTCGGGGGCGCTAACGCAGGCGGGTGAGGGGCGCTTGCCCTTCTCTGCCCTAGCCCTGGCGAAAGAAAGAAAGAGCTCCACGCCCAGCTGCAGAAGATGCCTCCACAGACAGGCCACTACGAGCACCCAGCACATTGTGAAACCCGCCAGCGACTACAAGTTCAACCAGAGTGAGCCCGACCCAGAGACGGAGCAGCCGTCGACTTCAATAAATGCGGGGAGTGCCCCAGCCGATGGGACACCGATGGGGCCCCACCTCGACACGGTTGTCCGGGACGGGGAACTGGGAACCGTCGCACCAGTCGCAGCAGCTTCCACTCCTGAGCGGGGGGCATTCACGTGAGAGCCTTCCTTCGACACCCCGACACTGGGGGTTTTACAACTTTACAGCCGTGTTTTCCTTTCGAGCGCCAGCACCAGTACCAGCGCAAAGTTCCGTGCACAGACTTCGTTCCTGAAGCTTTTGCACTTGCCAACATAGCTGCACCACTGCACTTGAGCAGTTTGGCAAAGAGCTGGCGGGGGCTGCGGAACCTGCCTGCACTTTGCCCTAATCCAGACGGGCTGCTTCCAAACACCAGACGTATCCTGGGGATTGCACGCTGCACACCCTTCTTAATGTGCAAACCCGTTGCCGGTTGCCGCGCGCAGCTTGGCGTGACCCAACTCTTTCCAACTGCCGACGCCTGGGCTAAGGCCTGGGTTTCTGGTGGTGCTGGACGCCGGACGGTAAGGTCCCCTCCTGCCTGCCTTTGACCTTGAGCAATCAAGCAAGCAAGCTTCCCTCCTTTGGCAACGACCGGACCCATGGTAAGCAGTACAGCCGAGCCCTTTCTGCCCAACAGGGTGGATGGGGAAGTGCTTCGGCGCGGGTCAGGGGGACTGCCTCTGACTCTGACCCCAAGCCAAGCAAAGCAAAGAGAGAGAGAGAGAGAGAACGTGGTTCGTAGCTCTCCTACCTAGCCCGTAATACACAGGGTGGGCCATCGGCCCCGGCAGAGTGTCTAGACGTCCGTTACCGTTCGGTCCACTCCAAAATGGGCTGCGCACTCGCGCAAAGGGGCCCCTCAGGCCAGCAAAAAGAAAGAAACGGAGAGTGTGACGATGAGTAACGTCTGGTTTTCTAGCCAATAAACCATCCTGGACGTTCACCGTTCACAGCCTTCCAACGGTCTGCAATGAGCCCGCTAGTGCCGGGAGCGGTTTCCTCGCCATTTAAGCCTGGGAGAAGAAGAGAGAGAGGCTAGTTCATAGAGACAGCTGATCCAGTCATCCGCACTGGGTCTTCTTTGCCTTGCACCTAGCAAGGTCATGATCAACACAACCCGATTCGTCAGTCATCATACCTACCATTGTGCGAATGGATGTTGGTTGCGGCGGTCGCGCAAGGAGTCCATGTGAGATGTGTTTCTCTGGCTGCCAGCAGTGGATGCGAGGGCCTGCGAGGTGCGAGATGGCCAGGGCTCGATTGCAGTGCGCGCACGCACCTTCTCAAGTTTGTGCGAGTGCTCTGTCGTTCAAGTTTTGGAGTGTGGTGGTGCCCGAAGAAGAGTCTGCCAAGGATTTTGCCAGTCCAGGCAGGGTTGAGGTGGTTTCATGGGGCACCTTGCCCCTTCCGACGGGGAGAGCGTGTCAGCAGCCGGTGGCTTTCGCCCACGCGAATAAACAGTACAGCTACTGCTAAGGCACGCTTAAGTTGGTTTTGCATAGGCAATGAACGCAAGCAGAGGTCACGCGGTTACACGGAAAGATGCGTAGTGTGAAGCGAGTAAGCATGTAAGCACAGTAAGTCAGTAGGTATGCACACAGATTTGTGCGTCCGTTTGCCAAGCCGTCGCCGTAACTCTGCGCCTTTGTGAAGGCAAAAAAGGACGTGATGTCCGCCTAAGACCTACGACGCCGTAACCTGTATGATAGCGAATTCGCCTAATTCGTTGCATGCTGATGGCACTCTGACCCCTGCACCGCGCCCTCACCAAACTCGGGCTCCCCCTTTGCTCCTCTTACTCGTAGAAACCAGATTGCAGTTAGCAGTGCCTCTGCGTGAGTTTAGTCGCTGGCGCTGCTGCTGAGCAGCCCGGTCGCCACGGCAAAACAGCAAATTTGATGTGGCATCCACCACAGCACCAGACAAATTGCCGCCACTGGAGTCAAAAGCCAGGTGCAGCACTACTTGCAGCGCTGATCCAGGGCCTCTGAGATCGTCCCCTGCATTTGCGGAGTTGCGGTGGCTAGGACCCTCCACTCCTAAGGACCCAGGGAGCCCAAGCAAGGAGTCTAGCTGTGGAGGCACACAAAGCCCAGAAACTCATAGCATAGTTACACTCCATGTGAGCCAGCTGGCGTGATGGCATGGGCTGGCCGGGTGCACGAAGATGGCAACACCGCTTACAAGGTGCGACGTGAAACATGTAGCATTGCAAAAAAAATAACTGCGACATTCGTGACCTTAAGCTTAACATCGCAACTCTGGACTATAAGCATTGAACTGCCGTGATTTCAATCGTTTCGATCAGGTCTCACTTGATAACTATTGGTGGGTGTTCCAAATTCCAAACTTGCCTGTCTTTTTCAATCTGTATGCATGAGGTACAGGTGTGCATCGCACAGGCAACAGTAGCTCAGTACTCTGGCCTGGTCGTGCCTTGTAGCATGCAGGATCTTCCTGGCGGACATCGAGGCAAGCGACCTCTGTCCCAGGGAGCATGAGCTTGGCACATGTGGCTTAGTGGCCTTGCAGACCCTGGTGGATGGGCTACCGTATGGCAGGCCCTCACAGAGCCAAAGAAGCTTCCCAGGGCCACGCTGGCCTTCATTCCCCCTGCAAACCCCCAATTTCTATCCAGGCAACTCAGAACTTACGATCATGCTGGTGGATGCCGACCCCCTTCAACCGCGCGCGGGAGCCCCGTTCTGTTTCGGTTATGTGCGGCTCAAAGAGGATCTTGCGCCTTTGGCCTATCAGCACCGGCTCTCCTTCCGACAGAGCCTTGAAGGGGCTCCCGGCCGGTACGGGGTGCTGAGCTTTCAGGTTTGCAGTGTCGCCGTCGTCGCAGGTCCGCCACCGGTGCCGGAAGATGCGGATTTGCCCGACCTGTCTCACCCTCTGGACTGGTGTGGAGTGTTACGTTTTTCTCCGGAGATCAGGGATATGCCTCGAGGCAACTGCGGTCTGTGGTCTGTTGAAGCTGCTGCAGGACCTCCTGATGACCGAGGGCGGCTGTGCCCTTCCTTCAATTTCGTGAGCTGGCACGTCCAAGAGGAGGAGGGAGTGGGGAATCATCGTATGTGGATGCATTGGCGACATAAGCAATTGTTCGTGGTGGAAAGAGATCTCCTCTTCAGCATTCGTGCGACATCTCGGGAGGTGGGCTGGGAAGGAAGCTGCATCCAACGTCTTTCAAAGATGAGGGGCCCAAGAGGGCCATGCAATATGTTTACGGAGGCACATCCAGACCCGGTGCTGCTCAAGATGCCCGGCACAGAAGTCTCCGTCGCCATGCACCTCCGCTTTTTTCCGGCAGAGTTCCTGAGACCTCGGTCACATGCCGGCGGCATTAGCATTCGAATTACCCTGTTAGCAGCACCACCCATCTTGCAGCTGCCAGTCGTGTTCAGCGTGCCTTCCGGCTGCTTCTCCTTGTCCGGAGACAACGCAAAGGACACGATTTTCCACATCAGTCGCATTGGAGACTGCACGGAGGTTTGCCTTTCAGACCCTCTTCGGATAGTTGGCCGATCGGTGTGGAAGGTTTCAGAAACTGGCAGAGAGGCAACTACCTTGGATGAGTTGCGGCCCGACACGGACTGTCTCGTGGATATCCTAGCGCTGCGGCTTCGGGCCGGCGACGACAAGGTTATTACGCTGCCCTTGGGAGACCATACGATTGTGTTGCGATTGTGCTTGACAGTGCTACACGCGGATATTGCCCGGCCTGTCTTGGGGGTATGCGTTCCGGCATTGGAACCTGTGGAGGTGCTTGGTGGACAGGGTCCCGGGCCTTCGGGGCATGGTCAGGTGGTCGGAATCTTCGTGCATGCGTTGGCAGTGCACTCGCCACAGGTAACCTGTTGTTTGCTCAGTGGGGGCCCTGAAGCGGCCTCGGCTTTTTATCCTCTGCCACACGTCGGAGGCAAAGTATTTGTGCCAGCACAGCCAGACGGCCGCGGCAAGGTGAACATCCTGGCGTTCCTGCCAGAATTCGGCTGTCTTGCTGCAGCACAGACGGCTGTTGGCGATGGTTGCCTGCAGCTTCACTGGCGCTTCTCTGATGGTCGGGGCCTTTGCATTGCCAGTTGTACAGCGGCACTGTTTCATAGTTACAGTCACTTGATATGTACGAAGACTCTTGAAGGCTTGTTTTGTCAGTACATAGCCGCTAGCTCTGCCCTCCGGCCTGCTGTACACCAGCAGTCTGTGCCTGTCCTGGCTCCAGCAATAGCAAGAAGCTTTTGGCCATAAACACGTGGCATCTGGCAGCAGCGCAAATGCAGCACAGGCCGGGCAATGTTCGAAAAGATAAACGAACGTAGGCAGGGTTTCTCTTTTTTTGTGCGGCTTGGCCCAGTCAGGAGCTCCATGGTGCGTCGACGCTGCTTGGCCAGCTTTTGCTTGGTGCTCTTTGCGGCCACTGGGACTGCTGGCATTGGGCTCTGGGAAACCTCATGAAAGTAAAAGATTCCAGTGCCGCTTGCAACCAGGATCAGTGTCACTGTGCAGCTGAGGCGTTTTCCCAATCGAGCTTCAGCTTCATCAACCTGGGACTAAAGATGCCAGGCAGGGCAGTGGCTGTTGAGATTGCTGCCTCTTGCCACTCGCCAGACACCTGACATAATCGTTTCAGAGGCAGGATCAAAGCTTTGGTTGCCAGAGGGGCCGGCGAAGGCCAGATTTGCGGCTATTGCTGGCTTCGGACTTTGCATAGAGTTTCGGGAGGAATCCGGCTGTGACTGAGCAAGCGTCTGCAGCAAGCCTCCAAACCTTACTCCCGGCCTGGGAAGGTGCCATTCTCTCTTGCGACACGAGGGAAGACTTTGTCGCAAACCTCAACGGCTCTTTGACGGTAGCAGCTGAGTTGCGATCCAGAGTCGGAGGTCAAGTCCCAAACATCTTCCCACCAACCAACGACACTGCTCTACTGGTGTTAAAGTTGCAGTATAATCCTCCCGGCGCAGAATCTGATTTCCTCATACGGCCTTACTCCCGACCCAGCACTGCCTCAAACTACCTGAGAAAGCCGAAGCCCTCAGGCCATGTTCTCCTCGTCAATGTGTGGACCGTGTTTCCTCATGGAGCCTAAGGCCAGGTGGTCAGTCACAGAAAGAGAGACGGCTAAGTGCATCTCGCCAGCTCTGGGTGTCAGCTTGTTGGGGGTTTCGTCTCTGAGCCTTTCCAGCCAACCAAGGCGAATCATTGTGCTTCCTAATTACAGCACACTGTCCAGGTGGAAGAGCTGGCTGCCGCCTGGCGTGGGCAATTGGTTGGGTTTCGGGTTGACACACACACACACACATGCGCGCACCTGCACTTCGGAGACACGTCTGTCCCGACGCCGGGCAAGGTTTGGCCGCCTGCTCTCTGCCAGCATGCGGTTTAGCGAGCTTTCCACACCACATACAGTTTCGAGAAGAGTTTTCCAAGACTGGAAACGAACCTGAGTCACACACACACACACGTACGTGCATGCATATGCATGGACCGAGATAGCTACTGGCTACTGGTGGCTAGCTGGCTAGCTAGTTAGCAACAAGCAGTCAGTAAGTCAGTCAATCAATCTATCTACCTATTTCTACCTATCTATCTGTCTGTGTATCTATCTATCTATCCATTTATCTATCAGTCTCAACCTGTTTAACCCTTTCTGTATGTATCTTTATCTTTGCATATCCATAATTCTACATATCTACCTGTCTGCCTGTCTATCTATCTGTCTGTCTATCTATCTATGTATCTATCTACCTATCTATCTATAATCTATCTAACTGCCTATCTCATGTACCCTGTTTACTTGCGACCTACCTATCTATGTTACCTACCTACCAGTCTACCTGCCTATATATCTTTCGCTGTCTATCTCTATCTCTCTCTGTCTACCTCTATCGGTCTCTGTCTACTCATCTATCTATCTACCTAGTACATCTGTCTATGACTTTATCTGCCTATCTATCCAACTGTCCATCTATCTATTTGTCTATCTTCTACCGACCTACCTACCTACCTACCTACCTACCTGCCTGCCTGCCTGCCTGCCTGCCTGCCTGCCTGCCTGCCTGCCTGCCTGCCTGCCTGCCTGCCTGCTACCTACCGACCGACCGACCGACCGACCGACCGACCTACCTACCTACCTACCTACCTACCTACCTACCTATCTACCTAACTTCCCATCTATCTACCTACCTGTCTACCCATCTTACGTATCTGCCAAGATATTTACCTATCTAATCTAATCCAAACTAACCCAATCTAATCAAATCTAACTCTACATCTAAATCTTAAGGTTAATCTAAATCTTAACCTAAATCTTAATCTAAGTCTTAATCTAAATCTTAATCTAAATCTTAATCTGAATTTGAATCTAAATCTTAATCTAAATCTAATCTTAATCTAATCTAATCTATCTATCTATCGATCTACCTGTCTGCCTATCTTTATCTTACATTTCTACTTATTTAGCCTATCCGCCTATCTACTTCCCTACTTATCAGCCTATGCACCTATCATTTTGTCTGTCCATCTATCTATCTACCTATC